AAGCTGATTAGGAATGAGGATCATCCCATTGCGTTAGCTCAGTTATTTGCATCTAACAGAAAGGCGAAAGGAAAATCGAAGTATTATATTTTGCTGTTTCGTTGGGTTGATTGAAAAATGGTGACTCGGGAGATGGTGACTCGCTAGACTTTTTAGTTATATAATAGGATGTTCTCTTAAGAGAAAGAAATTCTTCCACAAAGGAAATTGTTGAATTCGTCGTTGGCCTGCTTTGTACCGGATGCAGTGGAAGCGCCCCAACGGAGTTGCCGCCAAACCCCCTGGCAGAACAAAACAAGAGAGATAGGGCTTTACAAATGTTGTAATATTGTAAACAGATTCCTCCCAAAGCGTAGGGGAATTTTGATTTTGTTTCACTGTTGAAAAACACTTGCATCTTCTAGTTACAAGTTTTAATGTTTGTCTTGAGCTGACTAATTCAATAGTAGGATTAATTTTTTGAGCATTCCAACTTCTTTGATTGCGGGAATTAAGAACGGCTCTCACAATTCAGTAGCAGTGTGGTTAATCGTAAAAGAGAAAGAAATGTAAATGAATGCAGCTGATTATTGAGCTCTCGTTGATTTTCAGTTTTCGAGATATGTGCAAGTGCTTTTCATGGATTCGCTGTTTAATTTTGATATTTTGTATATAGATCCTGTCTCTCATCTGAATATGTTGTTTTATAATGAATTTGTCCAGTGAACGCACTAACTCCTGATCTGTTTGTCTGCTCTCCAATTTAATTGTAAATTCTTGAGCTCCAATCAATAAAATACGCTTTTACCAACAACAACAGCATAATATTTTTTCTAATATGCCTGAGGCTCACTGAGTCGATGAACTGAGTAAAACTTGTCATCAAACTATTTGAAGAATACTGCTGGAAAGAGTAAGCAAAAATCGAAATGGGACAAAAAGCACTTCACCACAGGTGGCACACCGTAAAGGACTCACAAAATTTGTTCGCACACTGTTTTGGAAAAACCTCAACCATTTTCAAAAAAAAGGAGAAAGATTTTTGCGGCACAATCTTTTTAAAGGTTATTTTCTGTTAACCCATCTTCACAACTACCTTTTTCTCATTCAGGGTGAATATTCGATTTCGCTTGATAATTTTCCCCGTGTGGTTTTGGATTAGTAGCTGCTTTTTTGTTTCTTTCGCTTTCGTTTGCCTTCTTCATAACATTCATTGATTGGTGTTGAAGAACCTCGGAATTGCTTGACCAGATTGCTTTCTCCTCACCGCATCTCATCTATTAACAGAATTGTCCCTCTTTCTCTCTCATATGATGGTCGATCGAGTGGAACAAAGGTCTTTTCAATTTGGCAAATCTGTAGTACTTCAAGGACTAATTATAATATTAGTTTTCATAAAAGATTACTTTAAAAGCCAAGAATTTAAAGATCATATGCAGGGCTGTTCTAACGTGTAATTTCAAAGCCAGATTGCTAACACCACATGGGAGAAACACATGTTCATGGCCTTTGGTATTCTTTCGGGCAAGATTTTGAATTAGGTTGGGTTTTTCAGCATGTAATATCGCTTCGAGAATGTCTCTGACTGGGGCTGTATTAGCATTTGGATGAATAATAAAGTTAGTTTTGGTTTTTGATCTATTTTACAGATTTCATTCAGTTCCATTCCCTTTCAAAAACTTGATTGCCATCTCTAAAAATGACAATGAATATTCCGGTTATCTTTTTCCTCTTCTTCTTCAGGTTTTTCGAATCACTTACCCAGCGATGAGCTGTTTTTTTATCTACAAATGGGGCAAAATTTCAATGCTCATCCATTGTAAGCCATTTTCAAGCTTTGTGATCATCGCAAAACTGACTCGTGTGGAAGTAGCTACTCCTGCATTAAGTTTTCTCATTCAATATGTGTCTCAAATATCCCCATCGGCGCACATGTTTTGGATATTTTCATCTTTCAACGCAACACTTTTCATCGGGATAATGGGAAACGCGTACTTCAATGTACAGAGAGAACGATTTGTGATTGTATTGTAAGAACGGTTTGACTTGGCGGGATTCCCAAAGAATACCGATATGTACGTGGAAGAAACTGTTACAGAAGTTTTCGAAAGCTATGACTGGGGGAGAAAACACATTATTTAAGAGATCTTGATGAATTTAAGGAAAACGAGCTTCGCACGATGTTCATCAGCTCTCTTTTAGCGATACATTATTTTTAAGCCTCTGTCACTTTTTGTCACAGATTTGTTGCTGCTTGTAATCAGTGAGTATCACAATTCATTTTTAATCTTTAAAAAATCCAGATCTCACCATTTGGATTTTCAAAGGTTCGAACTGTCAGATGTGAGAGAGTTGAGACTATTAAAAACAAAAAACATCTTTAGATCAATGGTCTCATTTCTGAAGATTTCTCACAGACTCATTTCTCACGGATTCATCACGTAAAATGAGTTAAAGGAGATACTGTTTGATGGCGTTACCTCTAGGTTCTTCATCTATTTCACGCACTTGGTGTCTTCCTAGCTCAAATCGTTTACAAACCAAGCCAAACCTGGAGGATCTTCCAGGGAAGAAGAGTTATTCAATGCTCATATATGGTAAAAGATAAAAATGAAAGAAAATTTGAAATTGCATCCAGGTATGGACAAAAACTGCTTCGCTCCCATTTTTGATGCTCGTTATTTGGATATGGATTTTTGTTTCATCCAGGTAATGCCTGTTTGATATCTATTTCGTAAGATTTCCGCACAGACCTAGCTTCTCACTGATTCACGCAAAATGAGTTAGCGAAAAATGGAGACCCGCAAAATAATATGTCAAATGAGATCTTCTTCCGAGATAGAATAGTACACTTTCAGGTTCCATTTCAGGTTCCATTTCTTTATGTCGTTGATGAAAACAAATGAGAACTAGCCACGCTTGAAAGAACGAGACAGAAGGATAAATGATGAACAGCTGAGAGTTTGATTATGAAGAAACTGAGGGAAATGCGGGCTTGAGAATCAACCAGGTTTTACGCAAAACAATTCTTGCGTTTCTCTTTGGCATACCATTTTTAAAAACAACCGTAGTCTCCAAGTTCTTGACTCGTGGCTCGGTGACCTTAAAAGATATACAAAGAGATAGCTGTATTTCTTCGGGGGGAAAAAAAAACATTTGTATTTCTTGGGGGGGTAGAAGTTCTTTTTTCAGTTAATCTAAGAAAAAATGGCCTAAAAAAATACAACATGAGCTAACAGATTTTTGTTTCATTCCAGTCTATAGCACTGATTTGAAAGTTTCTATGAAAAGAATTTGTATAAGAGTTGCGATGCAGGAGTACGCGATGATACTCTTTACCCGGTCTCATTCGAAGAAATACGGTAGTTCGGATAAAACTTTTTTGTTCAAGATTGCGATAGTTTTTAAAAAAGTTGACACGTTTTAGAAAACGCATTAGTTGCCAGTTCGAACGCAAAACCATAGAAACTATTGGGAATCTATGGTATGATGCGATTGGTGATGTTAGCTGCCCCAATATGTTTACTGGACAGGTAAAATAGAACGCACAAAGCAAAACGATTTAAGTGTTCCAGATTCTTTCACACTTTTCCATTTTTGTTCCTTTCCTGAGATTCATCGGAAATCAGATTATCAAATCTTTATCGAATTTGAAAAAAGATTTCTAAAAGTCTAAATTTCCATAGACATTCTACATGTTTGGTCGAGTGGATTGCCGTGCTTTTCGCCGACAAAATTGCGCCTTCATATTTTTCATATTGGATTGAGTATTGTGGAGTGTAAAAATAATTCTATTCTATTAAAAAGAGGAAAAAAAAATGCGTGGTGTTTTAATTGCAATGGGGAATTGGTTTGAATTCAACTCAAACACTCACACCTCGCGCTTGCAGAAATGTTAATCGGGAAGACAATCGACAATCATTTGCGCCAATCTCAAAAAAAATTCGTTGTGGAAAATGAGTCCCGCATTTATCCGAGCTCCAAGAACCGACTCGACAACAAAACAACCAAAGTCAACGTCGTCTGCTCTGGGGGGCTCCATAAATGCGTAAAGCCGGGATTCGATTGGACATCTGATGAAACTTGGATTAATTACGAGATTGTCAAAGCGAAGAACCAATGGCTATCTACTGGAAAACCAAGCAAAACCATCCAAACTGATATTCATGGAAAGAAAATAATGCGCTCGGTTGCTGGTAGAACTAAAAAGCTTTTGGTGCACTATGAGTTAGCTAATCCAGATGAAAACATTGATGCTGACCTCTATTTAAAACAATTGACTAAAGCTAACGAGGCTTTAAAGAAATTGAGGCTCAATCCATCAAAGATTCGATTTTTGCACGACAACCCGAAACCCCACACTGCGAAAGTAATTCACAAAAAATTGACGAGCTCGGCTGGAAGTTGCTTTCTCATGCGCCTCACTCTCCTGACTTAGCCCTAGACTTGTAAGCGGAAAATTGAATAGATTTTGATTTTCAAAGCAGAACCAAACGAATGGGGCAGCTACGCACTGCGGAAAAACGTAGCTGCCCCATTTGTTGACTTTTCTTTGAAAGCTAAAAGATATTAAATTTTCCGCTTTTTTTTTCGCCTGCAAGCTGCAAGCCTGTCGTCAGATTACTTTTTCTTTCGATTCCTGAAACAGTTTATCATGGGAGAAAAGTTCGATGATCATGCTCAAGTCAAAAAAGCGGGCGACAACTATTTTGGCTCTAAAAACCCCAAATTTTTCACAAGTCAGGGACTTGCATCGAAGCTGGGAAGAAAGCATTGATAAAAATGGAGAAACCCTTGGAGATTGATAGTTCTTGGAGATTGATAGAATGCAATAGATTTTTGCAATAAATAAAAAAACACGCATGATTTTTTTTCCTCAATCTAATAAATGTATTCATAATTTTATTTCTAGTTAATATATGGGCTGTCATCATGTGTTTTCATCTTCGAACGTCCAATCTGGTTGGGTACTTCCCTTGCCGCCATTTCACTCGCACAATTTTTACCCTCCGCTCTCACATATGTTAAGCATACATTGCTACTTCGAGGCAAGTATTATCTGTTCAAAAAAGAAAGAAAGGTATGGTATCCTTAGAAAGGGCTACCATCAGTGACATAACGTAAATAGGGAATTAAAGACGCTTTTAATTAGCCAACACTCAACGAGCTGAATTAGTCTTTCAGCTGAATCAGTCTCGGTTGTGATCTCCGGCTCCTCTTTCGGCACCCTTGTCTATCCATTATTTTTGAGTTTAGCCAAGGTAAGTTAATTAAAAAACAATTTCAATTTACCACAAGTTTATCCAAATTTATGAACCCTAAAATTTATCTAGGAAAACGATTCTCGCCTCTTCGTCGCCATCAGTTTTTTCTCGACTCTTCTCCTCGTTTTTCTTTTCGTCTCCATGTTGAACTCGCAAGCGCAATCCGAAAGAACAAAAGGTGATTGAGGAGAATTATAATCGGGTTTTTTTTTTGAAATTTCAATCCCATTTCCAGCAACACAAGACCGAGTACAGGCCTTCATTTCTCGTTTCTTTTCTGGTGACACAACAACTTCTTCTCTTCGACGAGCTCCATCAATTAAACCGCTCATTTCTCGACTTCGACCGATGTCATATAGAAGGTTTTTTTTTCTTATTTTGTGCCATTTTGTGAAATTACCCTCTCAGCATACTTTGGTACTTAACTACTTTCATTTTTGATCGCTCCGAATTGTGCGAGATTCTGATAAGTTGAATCTCTGTCTCTTCACAAAAACTCTTATCACTCTTTCACAATAAAAATTCGATTGTGAGTAAAAACAACATTTCACTGTTCCAATTCCAACAAGCACTTTAAAAAGTTTCAGATTCCGAAACGCGAATCGATCCGCTTCTCCAGAGGTGCCGAAAATAAAAGTAACGCTTGAGAAAGAGCCACAAGTTCAGTTCAATTAAATCGAAATTTGTATGTATTTTGACGCTGAAATTGTTATTTTATGTTTATTAGAGCTATAGATAGGTATCGGCTAGTTTATCAGCTGAGGAAGAAAAAAGGGAAACCATTAGGAGTATTGGGATCAAAAGGATTACTCATTGACCCGGTAACGGGCGGGATTTCAAACTACTTACCATATAACAAAAGAAAAAAAATGGCAGCAAGAACCGGCCAAAGGGCAATCCATTTCTTTTTCTTTTTTTCTTCTCTTGAGTATGTTATCAGTTTTCAATCAGTCTCGGGACTCAAAGCGCGACAAGTCTCGCCTCCCCTCTCCCCTCTCTGTCACATTCTCCATATCACAACATTCCTTCTTTTTTTGTTGAGATCATTTTTTCCGCATGTGAACACTTCAAGCGATTTTCAAAGAATATACACTTTGATCGATTTATCGACTTTTTAAAACAATCAGAAATCGCAAACAGAAAAAGCTCAATTCATAGGGTTGTTAGGGGAAATTTAGGCGACTACCCGCGACATTTTTTCAAATACAATTACATTATTTAAAAAGTCAAAAAGTTAACTAAAAATCGCCCCAAATTCATCCCCGAGTCCGATGCTCGTCCTCTTCTTCAAGGACGTTCACTTCAACGTGTTTCGCCATTTTCTCAAGCTGTTCCAAATTCAACCCATAGCCCACAAAGAAATCATCGCATAAGTATTCAAGGGATGTGTCCTGAAAGTTTGATTGTTTCAAAAAGATATCACCTTTGTTAGTTCAACTCTCGACTCACCTTACAGAATTGCTTCACCAAAACCGAGCATTTATTCAAATTGCATCTGGGCATTGTTGGGAACAAGTGATGTTCAACCTAGATATATTCTATTCAAAAATTTGTCTATTTTTAAAGTCACCTGATAGTTGAGTCCTCCCCAGAGCCAATCGATGAACGGTGATGGAGTCATGTTGCGGGTGGTCAAGATTTGAAGAGCCGCGAAATTGTTGAGAATTCGAGAATTTGCTGAAAGAAATTTTTGGGATGAAAATAGATTTACAGTATTTTACAGTAATTATAGAAAGATTTCTACCTGGATATTTGTCAACGGAATTGTGATTGAATGTGACAACGTGAGCGATGAGGAACCCGGAACCTGCCTGCAATTTTGAGCCATTCATTTTGAAGAGAATACAATGTTTTCTTATCGATAAACAACTATAAACAAAGCTTTCTTTCTTTTCTTTCTTCTTACCTGTGAGATGAGGAAATATGCAATCCTGAGTGGCCATGATGGAAGAAGATACAATTGAAACAGCACCCAACCCCAGTGAATCACCAAACCGAGCTGGAAATATTGTTGAGATGAATTTGCGACTCTTTGAATACCTGTTGATCGAAGGCATTCTCCCTGTATTGACGGAATTTCGATTTATTTTGCACGAAGGCGAATTGCAGAGATTGAGCCAACCACGAGAATCTCAAGACGGGCAACATTGCAGTGTAATACAAATGTTGATAGGGGATCAACTGGAATTAACAATTTTTTAGGGTTATCTAAAAGAGATGGACCTTCAGAATGGCCTTCTCGAATGGTTCTTTGTACTTGAGAAGATCAGCGGGCACAAAAGTAATCAGAGGAGCCAAATCGATGTCTAAAATCGAATATAGAGTGTGCTCAAGTAATGCGCTTTCTAAAATGTGTCAACTTTTGAACGTTAGAGTAGCCTTGGCTTTAGTTTTTATCCAATCACAATCTAATGAAGGTAATGAGGCTCAGAACTCACCTCCGTCATGATCGATCATATTCGTAGTGGCATGATGGGTATTATGCTAAAAGATTCCAGAATCATTGTTGATATTTTTTTGTAAACCTTGTCTTTCCACCAATCGCTCGCAAATCCTTGAGCAATGTTGCCAAAGAAAAGTCCAAAACGATCATTTTGTCGGCGATTCTGAAAGTATTTTGTTTGGTTTCTAAAAGCTTTGATTTGTCTTACTTTGAATGGTTGATGATGACAGAACTCATGTGTCATCCAGCCAAGTTGTTGCCAGCAAACCTATAAACCATAATAGATTTTTGGATTTATTTAGATAAGCATGAATTATTTGTTTTCATTTGTTTTACAAAGGAATGATACAAATTTGGAAAACTAACCGCCATCACACACGCCGATAGTAGATACCTGAAATACCGTTTTTTGACTATTTTCGAGAGCACTTACCATTGCTGATATTGGAGAACAAATGCTAACAACATGATGGACATTGTGCTCACCATTTTGAAGTAGTAATACCTAAAAGGATCAAAGATATTAAGGAAGAGTTATTGCAATCAATCCATTACTCAAGTTTCATAAATTTATATTTATACTCTCTAGCAAATTTTACATTTCGATACTTAGCTGATCAGCTGAATATCTTTACAGCAAATGTTAAGGGTTGAAATATTGCCATTGCCCAATTGGGGAGTGGGACAAAGGCGACCTTTTTTTTGCGCACCCGGACATTTGCGCACCTTTTTTTCCGCACCTTGCCCATTAGCGCACCTTTTTTCGCGTTTTAAAAAGCTCTAAAAGCTAATATTAACCAATTTCTATTCCAAAAGTTGTTTTTCTAGGTAATTTTAGGGCGTAGAATCGAAATTTTGGCATATCAGAGCTTGTGGAAGCGAACGAACGGATTTATACAAAGAGAAAAATCAACAATTTTCTGTAATTTGACCTAGCCGTTTTTTCTTTCAAATTGGTTCCACACGCTCTGTTATGTCAAAATTTGAATTCGACACCCTCAAATTACCTAGAAAAACAACTTTTGGAATAGAAATTGGTTAATATTAGCTTTTAGAGCTTTTATAAAACGCGAAAAAGGGTGCGCTAATGGGCTAAGTGCGGAAAAAACGTGCGCAAATGTCCAGGTGCGCAAAAAAAAGGTCGCATTTGTCCCACTCCCCCCAATTGCACATTATTTTTTCCCGCACGAACCCCTCCTTTGCTTCCATCAATCCAAGTCGGTGTACATCTTGTCGTAGTTGCTCAAATCGTTGAGTAATGTTCTTTTCCTAGAGAATATTCCATTTAATGACTGCTTTTTGCATCAAACCTGTTCAATTGTAATATCATAAGTCGAAACGTTCACATCGATCTTATCGTCCCTTTTTTTAATGTACTCTTCGAGATCCTCGCTCTGAAATTTTTAAGCACTGTAAAAGCTTTCCACCCTATTTCTTACCTTGTCCCAAGCTTGTTTCTTCAAGATTTCCAATTGTTTATATGCCATGCCTGAACCTTCGTGAAACGCGTGAAACATATGTGTAGCGTCTGCATTGCTAAAAGTATTCATCGTGCTTTTTTTGTTTTACTTCTTGGAATCTGTTTTGTTTTCTTATTTACAAACTTTTTATTTTCAGCTGCCGGCCCGTGCTCTACATTCTCAACGCGAATCTCATTGGAATTTTAAAGGTACTTGATTAATTTTTGCAGGCTTTTTAAGTACTTAAATTTTGCGTTTTTAGAATGCCTATACCGACCAGCCCACAAAAATTGTTTGTGACTTCGCCGGAAAACCCTTGGCTAACAAAAGGAATCTCCCAAGTCTCTCATGATGACCAGGTATTTTTCATAGCTTTTAAAATGAAAACGAACGCATATTGTGTTATCACGTTTCCCCCTGGATGGTTATGGATCATTTCGTCGCTCAGATGCATCCATTTCCCGTCAACCTAAAATGGCTTGTTAGCTTTTTGATGAGTTGCAATTGGGAATGATTCCTAAAACGTTGTGCATCATAAAGAAAAATATCTGTTTAGTATAATACTAAAATTACCCGAATTCGGATTCCCTGTGTTTTGAGGCCCATCTCCGAAAAAATAAATTAGAGAGTGGCCAGCAGATCCAGGGGTGAAAGTTTCAAATGCAGACAGAAATGAACTCTGCTGGCCTATGGGGAAACCTTTCTTTCTTTGTGCTCTCTGGTCAACTGTGTGGTCTCTCGCTTGAACGTTTGATGGAAAAGGAAAGAAATCGGTGCGTTTGGTGGCGTGAGATCAGCCAGCCCTTTTTCGCTAGACATTGAGAAAGACAAAAGGTAGAGAGGGTTTTTCAAAAATCGTGCTTTGCTTTCAAATGATCCTTACATGATTTGAAGATCATTTAATGCGTGTGCAATTAAAATCAATAGATCAAAATGTTTTCCAGATGAAATGTAATTGTTATTTGATACGCTTAAAGTATATTTTATTTGCTGGCGAGCCAGGGACATTTTTATAATGTTGCTCACACGGGGGTTGAAAAATAGGTAAGTAGCAAAAAAAAATCAATACACGTTAAGAAATGTCGTTTGAGCAATTTCAATAAAAGCGACATGAAGTAAATAAATGCCAATGACATATGAACAAATGGCTATTTTCATAACATAAACAGAGATCAAAATACGTTTTACTCAAGTAAAGAACAATTTGACGATTAAAGGGCGTTAAGTGAAATCAAGACTGGGTTTCTACCAACAATAGTATTTGTAGAAATGCATTTATTTTGTATGCAACGTGGCAAACTCTGGTCTAGAAACATGGGTATATTTTGTAGCTAACTAGTTTGTGAAAACGTTGTGACCGTTCATAAAACGTGCAAGCAAGATTTGGAAACAGAAATCAAGACCCGATGAAACTTAGGGTGTTGATCTGTATAAAAAGGAATTTTATTTTTCGATTATAGGGGAATTAATCAGGAAGGGAAGTGTAAATTCAGTCCGACACCGGTGCTTCTTCTGACGGGAGGCTGGATCCTTTCGAGGCCTGCACTTGGGCAAAGTTCAAGCGAACAGGGTAACATTTTTGGCATAGCTTTTTTACTAACCGTAGGACTTATGGAAGGGCCGATTGGCATTCCTAACTTTTGGACCATCATTGCTGAAATTTCTATTTGATATGAATACTTTAGTTATTCCCAAATCTTAGGATGGCTGGCACCTGGAAGTGGTTGATACTCCTGATGATAGGTATACCCGACATCCATATGGGGTAGATGGCATTCCAGGGGCAGTCTATATTGGAATGCTAATACCAAGGGCATCCAGCCAGATCTGAACATTTTTATAACTTGGAGATTCATGACTTCTCTTAGGTACTCTTTTTATGAAAGTTTTACTGGTGGAAGAGCTCCTGGTGGTAGCTGAGAGAAAGGTGCCAGTGACAGGTTTCAAGATCCTGCAAATAGTGGATCAGAAAAACCTGCACAGATTAAAGTCTGAACAAACCTTTGGCCATCGCCTGTTGCCGCCATTGGAGGTAGGCAGGATTTCAGGAGATTGGATACGGCATTCCTGGTCTCCAACCAGGTATCTGGACAGTGATCATAAGAAAACAAAATTGAACTCCTGCTGATAAGCAGGCAACCCATTGGAGACATTGCTTGTATCATCCGAGTGCGTTCGTCGCCCCTGTTTGTTAAAATGAGTAATTACTTGAGCTTCATTGCTGAATACGCTTCAGGTCACATCACAAATTTATCTGAGGGTTACCTGGATTCGACGGGCAGGACCGGCAATTAGCTGGCCCATTAAAACCTAGTTTGAGGTGGTTGGGATACGTAGAGGAAATGGAGTTGGATATGCACCAGAAAAGTGGGCTGAAGTGTCAGGCACATGAGTCTGGGACGGGGCATCCCATCCTACCTGATGGAGCAGCATACATTGGTGAAAATTGAGCTAAAAACAGGGTATGGAGGCGTTGAAGTAGTACCGTTATGGTCCGTCGTCAGTTTACAATCCGTTCATTCTGTCTAAATTCATTTTCTATGTATAAAAAGTTTGCTTCACCTACTCTCCGGCAATAACAAAAAAAGAAGTTATGATTCACTCGCTTATCTTTGTAACCCTAGTAGGTCGGTTGCTGATTCGCCACCAGAGTGTTTTCGATTTCCCCCAAGTTTTTCTAGTCATACTTCAGTTCGCGTTCCGCTTCCTCGCACTGCGGATTAGATAATAATTTAGTTTTTAATCAAACTTGTTTACAGCCTGAGCCATCACATCTTAGGCTGGAGGGTTCGAGGGCTGATGAGTTATCATTAGCCCCATTTGCCTGAATTTATCAGGCTTATGAAGAGACTTTTCAGGCATTACTACCTTTAATCTGGATTACTACTCTCGACTCAGGTCTGTCAAAATTTTTGTATGTCGGCTGCCGTTATATGCTTTTTAACTGTTTTGTCTCGGTGGTATCCGGAGCCTAAAAAACTGAGTAATAAATCAGCCAGAATGATGACAACTCTTGGGATAATTACTGGGCGTGACCCACCGTGACTTTCCGCTTTCCTCGCTGGTCGGAATTTGGGTTAGCTTCTGCAAGTGGCTTTTTCCTAGAGAAGGTGTTACATACAGAATTCTGATCGCTGCCTCTCAACCCTTCTTCTTCCTTGAATACCAGGCCAATAAATTATCGAAATCAAGCCAGGCTTACGCTTCACGGGAATTAACCGTTAAGGTTCCGCATAAAAAATTCAAATAAAAATTCTTGAATAATCTAACGTAAAGTAGAACTTTTGTGTTTTGTTTTGTTGAGCTCCATCATAGCTAGTCATATCTTAGGGGCTTCACAGCAAAATGATGGAAGAGGCACTGAAGCAGGCAAGAGCTGGCAGATCGACTCTAGGCTCTCCAATTACGGAATTGATCAGACTGAAATTTTTGCAAATTGTTTAAAACCTTTTGCAGTAAGATACTTTTAGAAATTCGCCTCCGGAGTCGAGCTTGGGGAAATCGAGTCCTGAGAACAGTTCGACATTTGGAAACTTACTTCAGGCGGTATTTACAGATGTATAGAAAGCCGAAAGTTTCTTTACGAAGTCTATTTGAACGGTATTAAGGGGATCTGTTTAGGATTTGAACAAAGCTTTTAACTTCAAAATAAAAATCAATAGATTTAAAATGTCGGAAAAATTTTTAAAATTACAAAGCCAAGAACATAATGCGATTCAATAACAGGGAAGAGTAACATAAAGATATTTACAAACAGTAATCAAGTAAATTAGAATTATCTTAAATTTTTCCTCGTAGAACATGCTTAAAGAAAGGCGTCCCTCCCTGACACTAAGCAAGGCCAGAGCAATAAAACGGGGACAGAGGGTTACGGTCGGAAAAGAAGAGAAGAGAGGGGGAAAATCTGAAAATTAAACCCCGGGAAAGCTCATTACGTTAGCCATTCTATGGTCCTTGCGAATCTATCAAAACTTGTCCAAAAATAAGGATGGTTTCAAAAGCAGCTTTTATAATTTTTTATTTTAAACATAATTTTAGGAAGCGTTGCCTTGACTATTCGGGGTCAATCCGCTCAAGCATGACGAACGCGGGGACTGGTATTTACGTGAGGACCAAGGAAGAAAACCGAATTCAAGATGACACAAGTGTTTCGATTGAAGAAATCTCAAAATATTCAGAAATGGTGCACAAGGGAAAGGTTGTCAGCGAACGCTGCAACCAATCAGCAAAACGATTTGCGCCTTCTTAAACACAAAAGGCGGAAAATCTATTTGGGTGTGAGCAATGATGGGGAGATAAAGGTGTACGGATGAATGATTTCTTGCTGGAACATTTTGTGGGCTATTGGATGATACGACTTTCGTTTCCAAACCTCGCCCACCATCTGATGCAATCAAAATCGAAATTTACCCACTTTGGACGCTTCAGAAGAAATCAACACCTTCACTGGCGATCAAGAACGAATTAATGACGCTGATGGTTGATGAAGTCGGAATCTAAAAAAATTGGAACTGGAAAGCCTAAAATTTTTTTTAAAGAAAACCAAGGCAATACACACTCTACATGAGGGTGAACGTTGCAACGCCATGCTTACAATCGATTCGGACTGGCGAAAGCCTGCAGTCATCGTGATTAACGTAGAAGAAATCTCTGGGCCGATCTATTCCAAACGAAGAGGGACTCGCCTATCAACGAACCCGGGCGGGTAACCGAAGGATGTCTATCGATAAATTGAGACAATGCTTTCAAGCAGCTTTTGGGAGAAAAAGGATTTGACGCTATGGACAAAGCTTGGTCAGGATGAGCTTCGTCATTTTCCATGAGAAATAACTTGTTACTTTGGCCAATATATTTGTTTTTGTTTTCTTGCTACTTCCGTCAAACTTTTTTATTTCTTAATTGGAACTTTATTAATTTAAGAGCATGTTACGTCCTGGTCGAGCACTGTCGGCTTCGAAACGCCTGATCGGTGGGTTCTTCTATAACCTTTAAGCTAAATGTTAAAAGCTATTTTCTAAAATATACAACCTTTTTCTAGGATCAAACTCAACAGAGAAGGCGGCGGAGTGAACGAACCGCTCAAGCAAGTGCGTGATAGAAACCATCGTATGAAAAATCTGGGAAATATTCTCAAAAGATTTGTTTAGGGATGAGGCCTCGGCGACATGCAGAGTAGATTACGACAGTGATGTAACGACTTAATTGGGGATTTTTACAGAGTTTTTCCTTTGGTGTTCTTTATTTGTGTTCTTTTAGATGATGGTACAATCTCGGAAGGAGATCAGTCTATCACGATTTTGGGGGTAAGTTTTCTCTTTAATACGAGAATATTAAGCGATCATTTCATCAAAAGTCCATTATGATTTTCCCAACCCTAACGTTGAATATTATTTTTGAGCACTACCAGAAGCTCCTGTAGCGAGGAGACAACAGAAGGACCAATGAAAGTCTTACTGAGCTTCAACGTGAACTTGCAGGTGAGATAGCTTTTGTTATATAAGCTACCAATGCCAATTTATGAACCCAAGATCTAACGCGCTCGACAACTCCTGTACGCACCGCGTCGTCGCACACGCCTTGGATAATGCGGAACTCCGAGAGTCACTCGCATTCAGTAATACGCATCACACGCCGTCGCGCTCGCCTTGATGATACGGTTTCGCCCTATAAGTGTAAGTTGTTTAAGCCAATTTGTTGTTTATTTAAACCTGGGATGTCCGAAATGAACCATCGACTTCTAATGTACATAATGCTCCCCTTTACAGGATTGATTGGGATCAAGAAGATCAGGGCCAATGCCTCCTTAGGTAAAAGCAATAACGATCAGCCACTAGAAAGTTTGCATTTATGTTTATTTTTTAATTAATCCTCATACAGATCAAGTTTTGGGAAACAATGATGAAGACGAAGACACTTGTACCATTTGTTTCGAGGCTAGTTTTTAGATTTTGCTAAAGTAGCAGGCATTTGTTTAGGATTTACAAACAAATGGGGAGCATCGATTAGTTTCTCTGAAATGTGGACAATTTTTTGGGAAGACTTGCATTGAGAGATGGATTAGAGGTAAAGGGAGATAGATTTAATTATCATTAATTTTTAGGAGAGAAAGTGTCACAATGTCCCAAAAAAAAACAAAGCTACACTCAAAGATGTGCGTCTTCATTATGGGTAGAACAATTAAGGTTTAGCAAAGTTTTTATTAGTTTTACTTTTATTTTATAGATGGCCGGATAACGGGGAGCTTGAAGTGACCAGGAAAGCTCGCGATGATAACAACGGTTGTGCGAGTCGCCAGAAAATTGACGTGGCGCGTCTACAGAAAGCGATTAAAGACATGGAAGAAAAGCGAGTTTTCTCTACCAGTGAAATGTTTTATTTACTTCAGGCATGACACAAGCGCAGTATTCTGATTTGATGGTCGAAGGTTGTCAAAAAGGGAACTTTCAAAATTTGGCCCTGATGCTAGACGCGAACTTTCTATGGAAGGGTGGGGAAGCTTATTGACTTTGATTATTACTTTTTTCATTCAAGCTATGCAGAATTTAGGAACTCTTATTTTGTTGCAACAAAGAGAAATGGCGGGTCTTTTTGAGCAATACTGTTTTACAAACGGCTTGTGTTTTTATATGAGAAAAGCTGTAAAGATTGGATGAAGTTAAACTCTGCATTGAAACAAGGCTCAATGGTACCGCCATAGCAACAAGATCCGCTCTATTTCGATTTGCCCATCACAGCCTAACCTAATTTTGAGTGGTAATTCTGGAAATCATTTTTATTGTGTTAACTAAAAGTTTAGTTTCGGAAGATTCCACTGCCATTATTTTTGATTTGACAATGCATACGAAACGTTCGCATACATTTAAATTGGGTATGCTTGGATGGACTGGTTGGTATCTATCGGATACTATGGTCAGGAAAACAGTTGTTTTGTTTTGATTTTTCTATTCAGTTCGCGGTTGGTTTACAAAATGGACGCGTCTTGGAGTTTGATCTGGTACAATCTGGTCATCGACAACCAATCACGGACCTTACGGATGGTCAGGGCAATTTTGCAATTCATCTGAGGGTAATATTTATCATACTTCGACAAGCTGTAAGTTGGGATAATTTAAGGGGCATGTGATGAGCCTCAACTTTTGCTGATGGCGTCCTTAAGAAAGGTGATGGCTCGACATCGTGGACAACTTGAAACGATTCTTGAGCATAATACCGGGTAAACTCTTCTAACTGGTCTTTAACGTAGATCTTCAACCTGGATTTAGATAACGACATGAGATAAGCTGCGTTGTTTCGGATTCGTCATCCGGTTCTTTGTCATCACAATACCCGGCATTCCGAGAAAAGAATAACGCCCACGACGCATCAGTCTCTACAAATTGTGCGAAGAAGGCGCATTGGTAACTTTTTATGATGCTAGGAGAAAATGTAAAATTTAAGGTGAAATGCCAAGAAATCAGAAGAATCACTTCGAAATCGATGGACTTGGCATATATCCTCTCGTCATCATTATTCACTTCCGCAGGATCGCTGGTCTCGATGGCGTTCGAACCGGATTTTAATCGCTTGGCAATTTACGACTGGAGTGATAAGCATAAAGAGGTTTGATATTTCTTCGTTTTCTTTAAACTACATTCGGGTAGGTTTATTTCGGTATGCACTAACGGGACAAGTTATGGCACTTCGAGCTTAGTCCAGTCAACGAAAAAGAGATGAGACTTGTGATTCTTGCCGATAATGGTGTTTTTTCTGCAAAAATAAATTAGTTGTTAGTATGATTCGATTTTATTTGTTTACGGATTTGATTTATCTTTGTCTTTATGAAAATTTTCTTTTAATGTCTTATTGCTCTTAGCACTCATTCACTTACTCAAATTTTTATCGTTTCATCAATATTTTTTGATCTCATTATGCGTTGAATAAATTATTATGCAGAGCTTTCAAAAAAATGCAGATTGCTTTAAGTTTTTGGATCAGAGGGTCGATTTGTGGAAATCTCGGTGCGGACTTCTTCCACAGGTGAACAAACAAAGGTGGACCTTACCTCGAAAAAACGCATAATGACCCTTTATTTCAAAAAGTGAGTTTCCAAAAGATGGTCATTTGAAATTCAAATCCGTGAATAATTAAGTGGGTGTATAAAATGATGTTGGAGAGGTTGTGGGCACAACCTCAATCCACTGGACTCCAATGATTCGCGCCTCATTCACAATCACTTTTGCCTCGAGCGCCACCTATGCCGCTTTGACTTGCGATAAACTGACTGGACGTAGGGATTTCGGATTTTAAACCAAATCCCTGAATTTTCAGCGTGCGAGCTCGGATGTGATCAGATTCGGTTTTGTTTCGACAATGTGAGCTGCTGCAATTTGTCTGATGTCCATTCAAGTAATTTTGAGTGAAATGAAGAAAAAAGCGCTACTTTAGCCTGACCAATTAGAAAATATAAATGCAAATTTCTAATAGCATCTTCCAAATTTCTAAGTACTCCAAAAGTTGACACTTCAGAGTTGACTGAATGATTGATTTCAGATGGAAGCAGCGATTGCTCCAACCGATAAAACCGGTCACCGAAGCGTGTGCCGATAAAGTGAAACCCGCAAACTGGTGTCTCGGATTGCCCCAAAAGGATCAACAAGCAATGTGGCGGTGGGGAAATAAGAAAACGTCAATTGGTTCAAATTTCAATTCTTATCATGATATCATGGTAGAACAATGCCCAAAAACGTGTGGCTTGTGTGGGTCGGGAACGACGGCATGGTGAGTGAACTAAACGAAGTACAATAAAAAGAGAAATAGATTGTAGAGTTCTGCTGAGCAATTAGCACTCTCTAGAATCTGTCCTCGATCTTTAAAAAACCAATTTTCCCGCACAGCACAATTGTAAATGTTCAACTCGGGGGGTGACTACTTTGCGCCAAATTTTTTTGCGCAAACCGGTCATTTGCGCAAAAATTTGGCGGGCAAAAGTAGCCATCCTCTCAACTGAATTTCAGGCCCTGGAATATGGCCGATAAGATCAACCCGATAACCGGTCTCGAATACAAAGTTGACCTTTAGAACGGTAGATTTGTAGGGGTCTCGGATTGCCTCGGACGGCCTCTACTGCTATGATCCGGTGAGGGAAAAGACATCCTCGCTTTTGATAGCTTTTGAAAGCTGGACAATTTTAGCAATCACTTGAAATGAGCATAATTGAGAAGTTTTTCAGAACTACGTCGCTCTGATGAGAGATCAATGTGCCAAGACGTGCCGATTCTTGTTGAAAACAAAGGAATGAATCATTGCTTAAGCACAATTTGTAAACATATATTAAATGCAAATATCAAACGGGATTTCCTGAAAGAGAAATCACCAAATTTGTGAAATCACATCTTGAGCTGAAATACAAAATAAGTATTTCTTTTTTCTAGTTTATTTCCGTCATTAAAATGGGGATTTTCGAAAGAAATCACTGATTAGAGAATGGGAAAGGCTTCTGGAGAGTGATAACTTTTTTTTTTTTTTTGCTTTTGGCCATCAAACCATTCAATCACAAACTACTTTAGGTTTTATTCAAAACATCCAATTATTAGTCTATTGCTTTCGATATTCTAGTTCTCCCAGAGTACTAATAAAGCACAATCAAAAGCGCAAGATTTCCTTATCGCTTTGATATCAAAACTTGAGCACCTGGGGTTTCCTTTAATGAAACCGACTCGTATCCAATTCAAAAGCCAGTCTCCTCATACAAAGAGCCAGGACTTGCTCGAATTGTAAACTTTCTTCTAGATTGAAATTATAATATTGCCAAGACTCAGCCTTTGGTCGGCTTCTGGGTAGTGAGTCGGTTTTTTAATAACTTTTCGCATAAATAGCTTTCAGTGATGTTCCCGCAGCTCTTCATCCCTTTATTCTCTTTTTCTCTACAACATCTCTCTAAATATCGTTTCTTATTCTCGTGATCGGTCCGAGATTATCCCGATTTCGCGAATCTCTTGTCGATAACCTCAATAACTGGCATTCGGTGCGTTTTTCAGCAAATGGGAAGAACTCTAGCAATAGGATCTGATAATCGGTCAACTGAACACGAATAACAAAAAAGAATGGCACGAAAAATGGCGCGAAGAGTGAGAATGGTGGGATTCATGGAGAAGAGTCCATGGGTTAGCCTGACACATTTGATGGTCGGTTTCAGAAAGCTCGTGCTTAATACCAGAAAAGGAAAAGACTGAATATCCTTCATTTTTATACAGTTTACCTTTTATGATAAAAAGTTGTTATAGTTAAAGCCGGGAGTGGGACACAGTCAAAGAGGGCACCTGGACATTATAGCAATCTTTTTCAGACTTTGCCTATTAGCGCACCTTTTTTAAAAGTTTAGGAGCTGAATATGAACCAACTCTATTCCAAAAAGTTGTTCTTCAGGTAATTGGAGGTGATCGAATCGAAATTCCTGACATACAGAGTTCTGTGGAAACAAACGGACGGAGTTATACAAAGAGAAAGGTCAACAATTTTCTGTAATTTGACCTAGCGTTTGTCTATTCAAATTGGTTCCACACGCTCTGTTATGTCAAAATTTGGATCTCTACGCCCTAAAATTACCTAGAAAAACAACATTTGGAATAGAAATTGGTTAATATTAGCTTTTTGGAGCTTTTTTAAACGCGAAAAAGGTGCGCTAATAGGCAAGGTAAGTGGAAAAAGGTGCGCAAATGTCCAGGGCAGCAAAAAAAAGGTCGCATTTGTCCCACTTCCGTTAAAGCCATTTACCCATTCAGAATCCCCTTCCGAGAGTCGCAGCTTTTTCCAGTCGAAACTTATGGATGTTTTTGAGGACGCCACCATAAAAATGTGTGATTGTGGGAGGGGAAAAGAGCTTAATGTTCAAAAAGGATCATTTTTCAGTATTTCTAAGTGATGAGACTTCTTTGGAGTCTCTGAAATGAGAAATACGACCTGGCATTGATTTCAGCTTATGATTATTGTCCATTGGCACTCTTCATAAAACAGGTGAGAAAAGAAATAAAAGAAACCAAGATTATAACAAATAACATAAAAGTAAGTGAACTTTCGAAAAGATCCTTAATCCTGATTTAAAGAACAATAAAATCTTCCATCTATTATATTTCAGTTTTTTAGCCAGCCAATTTATTTACTTTTTCTTAGCCAGCCAATTTATTTACTTTTGAAGTCTTTTTATATCCTCTGTAGACCAAAATAGAGCTGAATAAAAAGCTGAATAACTGAATAAAAAGAGAGCGACGGTAGCTTTTTAAAAGTTGATATGTATGGCTTCATCGAACTGATCTTCTCTCTCTCTATCTAGGTATCACGAACATCGCTCTATTCATAATCCAACTCCAATGTTTCCCCTTCAAAACCTATGCATCCGGTCTTCCTATGTTACCCAAGTTACATTGTAGGTGAGAAATATAAAACTTTTTTAGAGTATAATACTTGACCGTCAATTTCCAGACGTTCTTCATTTCAACTCGCCTACATTGAGCCTCGGTTTTTGGGAAAGAGCTTCAATTTATTGGCGGCAATCAAATATGAGAATCGCTGGTTATCCGGATTTCATCAAAATGACTGTAAAGAAAGATTTGGAGATTTTGGAAAAAAAGATTTCCCAGGATTCGATCGTTCGAAAACATTATGGAGAGGATTTCCTGAGTGGTTCACGATTTGTCTCTGTAGTAATTTTTGGAGAATTCGTAGCCAATTCCGTAGTTTAACTGGTAAAGATTATCTTTCTGATTTACAGGAAGCACTCTGTTCTGTTCGTGAATTCGAATGAATTACTTGAAAAGGGAAGACCGATCAGCCATAAAGTGAAATACATTGAGGGATTAATCGGAAGAAACCGAGAACACTTCAGAGGTACGAGTTTTGAAATTGAGAACTTTTAAAGTACATCAATAGGAATGGGAAACCTTCTCGCGAAATCCAAAAAGGGAAACATTACCTCTTGTTGGGAACACAGGTGAGAAAATGAAATGAAATGAAATGTGCTAATGCTTCTAATTCTCTTCTTTCAGGTCGTTTCATCGCGAATCCCCGATGAGATCAAAATCTCGCTCATTCGCGCTTTTTCCCATTTCCCCGAATACAATTTCTTCTGGAAGTATGAGACAATCGAGTCGGATTCGTGGCTTTTCAAGAATTACACAAATGTTTTCCCTGATCAATTGGCTTCCGCAAACGGATATTTTAGGTAAATTATGGAAATTGCATCAAAAGCATCCCTTTAGGAACACTGGAAAAACGATTGCTTTCTATCTCCCATATGGGTTTGAATTCAATATCTTGAGGCTTCTTATGCCGGTAATCTGACAATTAGTATACCGATATTTGCTGATCAAGTATAAAAAATATAATTAAAATGTATCTTTTACTCAAAAATCAGGTATACAATGCATTGAATGCTCAAGAGAGGGAATATCGGTGACAATCTGAAAGACGGAAGTCACCGAGGAAACGATCAAGGAAGCACTCACAAAAGTCATTGGAAATCAAGAGTACGGGAGTTTGGAAAAACAGATTTGATACTGTAAAGTTCTCTAGTTCTGTAGAAGTTCTCTAGAAGTTCTCTAGAAAAGATCGGATTTTAGAATGAAAAAGAAATGTTTAATCTTGTCGAAAATGTTGGAAAGAAAAGCCCCGATCAGCCAGAGAGGAGATTCATTGAATGGATTCAGTTTGCCGCCAAGTTCAGGTCGTGTTCTTCGAATCTAAGGAAACTATTCTATAATCACAATTCTATTGTTTTCTAAAAGGTTTAAAAGCTATCCGCAACCTTACAAGCTACGGTAGTTTTGAAAGCACTTTACAGGGTGTCCGGCAAAAAAGTGACCATCGATTTGAGCCCGGAAAAAATTTTCTCGTTGATTTTTCAAGGCTCCTCGTAGTGTCAAGAATTGGTTTTGCCTCGAGGCGTCACACAACAACATCAAGTTCTGACCAAATTGATGATCTTTTTGAATAGGGATCATTTGTGGAATTTCTATAAATTTGTTTTGATATTAGGATCTTGAAAATAAAAGACCCCCAAAAAGTTGGAAAGCAGCAACAAGAGAGTTTTCTCGTTTAAAAATTAACCATATTTTCGAGATTTTTGAAGCAGCCAATCCAACAATGCAAACTGAAATTGTGGTTAGGAAAATTAAAAGAACAAAAAGAAATTTATAGAAATAAAAAGTAAAAAAGATTTTTGTGAAATCGAGGAATTGGAAAGTGTGTTTTTTATGTTTACGTGGATTTTGAACTTCCCGGTCGATGCATGAACCCGTTTAAAGTAGCCAATCCAACAAATGCAAACTGAAATTGTGGTTAGAACATTAAAAGAACAAAAAGAAATTTATAGAAATAAAAAGTAGAACGATTTTTGACGAAATAGAGGAATTGAAAAGTGTGTTTTTTATGTTTACGTGGATTTTGAGTTTTCCGGCTGATGCATTTCAGCTGATCGGCTGATCCCTATTCACATAATCATCAAAAAAAATGAACTTAATCTTGTTGTGTGACGCTTGAGGCAGAATCAATTCTAACACTACGATCAGCCTTGAAAAATCAACGAGAAAATTTTTCCAGACTCAAATCGATGATCATTTGAAAATCGTGTTTGATTTGATTATAAATTTCTCGTTTACAGAATCTTGACGAGCATTTAAATCTGCCATCAACCTTAATGTCCTCACTCGTCCACAACAATATCGATATTATTTTTGTTTTCTTTATGTTTTCCCTTGTTTTCCTCATTTTTTCTTTTTACACGATATTTCGATTTTTCAAACGACCAATCAATCAAAAAAAATCAAAAAAAATCAAGAAGAATTGAAAAGGACAAGGAAGAAAAGGAAAAGAAAGAATTGAAAAGAAAATTTTCGTTTTTAATCAGCTCATTTTACTTGTACAATAAAGAATTGAGAGAAATTCTGTTGTTTAAAAGTTAAACAAACCAATTTTTCAATCAATCAAGCAATGACACCTTTCACAAATTGTTATTTACTCAATTTTGTACAAACGGTTTATTTCCCATGATAAACATTCGTTTCCGGCAGTTTAAAGAAGAGAAGAATCCAGGCAACACCGAGAATTGGAATGTACAGCAAAGGGATCGCCATCAGACCCAACCACTGTAGACAAAGTGTTTAGAGAACTTCAACTCTTGTTAAACTCACGTCAAACAAAGGAATTACGATGAAATTTGTGCATACGACGAGGGAACTGTGGAGAGCGTAACAGACACAGAAAAGAGCCGATCTGAAACGAGATTTGAATTGAATTCAAGAACTTTTCGAATCTTAAAGCTTAAGTCAAGTCAGGGAAGGCACAGTCAGATCAAAAGCCAAGTCAGGGAAGGCACAGTCAGATCAAAAGCCAAGTCTAGATACTACAGTCGACTCTCTCTATAACGGAATGGAAGGGACCAAAAATTTTTCCGTTATATATAGCTTAGCGTCGGCCGGGACCAAAATTTCATTCCGTTATATGATCGCGTCCGTTTCCTTCCTATTTGCGTTCCTATTTGCATTTAACTTGCGTCGGATTTTCGCCTTATTCTCTTCCCCAAATTGTTTTCTTTTTTCTTTCGATAGAATTTTGGGGGTAGCTTCTCGCCCTTTTTTTTGTTTGGGCTTTTTGCCTTCGTTCTTTGATTCGATTTGTTTTGATGTTTCGATTCATGCGCATCCTATTTTTGTCTTTTATCGTTGCATTTTAATTCTGTACTAAAAAAACCGTAAAATTATAAATCCAATTTACTTTACGCTACCCTTAAGGTTTAAAATCCTATTTAGATAGCTGGTCTAACATTATAGAAAGAATTTGTTTTGTTTTGTCATCGACGAATCATCAATCCGTTGTGTGCTCGTATCACAAGCGTTAACCTTATGCTAGATGTTGCGTATTCTTGTTATGTTGTGAGCGTTTTAGGGAAACTCGTTTAACCTTTTGTGTACTCGGTTATTCCGAAACAAAATCATCCTCGATGATAAGGTTAAAGCGGGTCAAACCCCGAGCTATATAGAGTTTGCCACTATATAGAGTTCCGTTATAGATAGAGTCGACTGTATTGTCTGATCGAAACAACAGTAAAAGCCATCATTTGATCTACCTGTAATTTATGGGAACCAGCTCTGGTCCAACTGTCCACGCAACTCCACCAACACCGACACTATAAAAAGACTATGAACTTTTTTGAAAAAACTCCATACCCATAAATAAAAATATAAATTCCAGCAAAGAAAATGATTGGATATCGACTGGTAAAGAAAAGATCGGAGATCGGGAAGAAAAGCAATAAAAACATTGAGATCGCACCTGAAATGAATTCTTGAGACTGGCTTGATTTCATTTTAGACTGGCTTGATTTCATTTCAAAATTTACCACATGTGAGAAGGAAAGATCGTCGGGGGAAACGATCAATGATTGAAGTTGAGATGAAGCAAGCGATTGTGAAGAGAATCATTAAAACTGTTGACGATGTTTGCGAGATTTCTCTGAATGACTCGATGATAGGTTTATTTTTCAATTTCCACTCACTTTTCAATGCCGATACTCGAGAAAATGTACGTCGAGCTTTGAAGGATCGGGAAAAATGGGAGAGTGAAAACGAGAGCGGCTAGCGAAAGGAGAAGGGATCGGCCGAGGGCACCGCAAGACCATAAAGCCTGCAAAGTTTATCTTCATCTTTAGCTTTTAGGCTTATCTCCTCACCGAAATATTCCCCTTTTTGAGGTCATTATCGGTAATTTCTTCTTCAAGAAGCTCTTTCTCAATTCGATGATCGACAGAGTTTCCCAAGAAATACGCTATTGATCTTTTAGCTGCTTTTTCATTGTTTCTAAAGAGAATTTTATGTTAGAGTATACTTTGAAATGCTTTATAAAAAGCTTTAACTTGTAACAACTCTAGTAATCTTGCCACAAATCAGTAAATCAGTAATCTTGCCACAAATCTTTGTCTGATTTCATTATGGATTCAATTATATTGAAATATTTTAATTCTATTGATTCGAGAGATTTTCATTACGCTAGAATTTGTTAATTTTACAAAAAGTTTTACATTTTACAAATTTTACAAAAAGAACACTTTTTAAGAAAACATTATCACGTTCAATCTCTAATTTCACATTTACTGTTTCCTCACTTCTTGATGGCCAAATATTTTGGTGTATCGGGTATTGTAAGGAGGTAGAGAGTAGAAAGAAAACCAGTAATCAAGGGAACGAATAAAAGAAGTTTCATCGATTTTCTGTAAAAATTTGTATGATTGAGATTGTGGATTTCCTTTTTTGTTTTTTACCCAAGTAGCGCATCTTGTCCGAGAGCCATTCCAAGAAGACAAGTGACCGCATATCCAGTTGAGAAAAGAGAGGACATACTGCCACGGACACGATCTGGAGCACATTCCTTAACGAAAGTCAATTATAAATCTAAGAAAATTTGATAACTTGCAAATAAACGATTAGAGCAGCATCCATTAAAGGTGATGAAACAGCGGCCAGGACTCGACCGATGAAGAAAATCTGGAATTTGTTCTGGAGTCTGCAATCGGAAGTCTGGAAAATTGGAATCGATTGGATCGATTGGATTGGAAAAAATCGATTGGAAAGTGTTGTTGGGTAAACGATGTTTAAATGAGAATGATTTTAAGCTTACAAGTTACAATCTTTTACTTTATATAAGTTAAAATTACCTCGGGAAATGACGAGAAAACGGCTAAGAATTGAAGAAGCGCTCCGAGAGTGACGAAAGATGAGGAGAGGATGAAAGCCACTGAAATATGATCAAGATTTTCATCAGCTCTGTTTCTCCTACCTTTTCTCCCATATTTATCACAAATGAAAGGACTCGCAAGCGCTCCACCGACTTGTCCCAAATACCAGACACAATTGATTGTTGAGCGAATGATCGAAATCTCAAATGTGGCTTTACAACTACAATAATGTTAATCTGATATTGTATTGATATAGCTATAATACTTTACTGTTGCTACAATAGCTACAATACTTTACAATACTGTATTGCTATTAACTGCTATAGCTACAATACTTTAGAGTATACGGTAGAGTGTTCTGCCGTATGATTCTACAGTATTCAACTCACATGATGATTCTCAAGAATGATCTCTCTTTGTGCGTATGACCGATTAAGATATTCATTCACTTCATGTACTGCCGTGTTGATTGAAGTGTGTGTAAATGCTGAAAAGAGATTTGAATGCTGAAAAGATTTCTATCATTTTTTCTAATCTTCGTACCGGAAGGGAAATTGGCGATTGATGTGAGAATTGACATCAACAAAAAGAGACGAATTCGTGAGCCGATTCCCAAGCGAGGAGGGAGTGATCTGGAAATGGAAAGAGATCAGATCAATGAGAAAAGAGAGATCATTTTATGATCAAACTGGCAATGAGATTTTAGTCGTTAAATGATCAGCTTTAGATTTGAATGCTCAACGAGTGAAATCTTACTGTATTTGGTCTAGAATTTCGAACAAATCTACCAGTTTTCATTTCTTTTCTCACCTCTTTTCCCAGTCATTCCCATCAGTTAAATCCTCGTTGAGTGGCTGAACGAGATCCTTTAAATATTGTATTTCATATGAATTTCTCAGTGCAACTTACTGTTTCCATTTTTTTCCAGTCCAACTACAATTTCATTTATCCTTTCCTAATTATATCTTTCTTTTTTTTTGTTATCAGCTTGACCTCCTCTTGTCTCTAAACCTTTCAAAAATTATACAAAAACATGAGACACGTGAAAAATATATAAACAAAGCGATGACACGAGAAAAAGTTGAGAAATTGGGGTATTCCTGGGGTTTATTCAGAAAAAAGTTGAAATATTGAAGAAGAAGAAGCTGAGCTAAAAAGTATGAACAAACAAATGAAAGTGATTGATCATTGAGTGGTCAAATTAAAGGATTTGAAAAAATTGTAATGAAATTATCGGTTGGAAAAAAGCCCGAGGTGATGGTAGCAGATGGCCAGGGAAATGGCAAGTTTGCGGATACTAAATTCTTCGAATAACAAAGATCAGACATGTTCACAGACAGTCAGACAGAAGAAAGGACTTACGTAAGAAAAAGGCACAGAAATAGTTGTGAGATGATCAAAGTTCAGCTAGTACGTGGAAAGGGTGAGCGGTCATTTGAGGGTAAGATAGATATGGAAGAGGGAACGGGTCACCCCAATCAGCCAATTCCCCTCCAAACCTCCTCTTTTCATATACAATAGTCGACAAGGCAATTAATTGACTGAATTGGTGGCAGTATCGAATTTTTGTGGGCAAGACACAAAAGAAAACAAATGCATGAATGGGGGGATCTGCCCATCTGTCTGCCTCTTTTTGGGGGGGGGGGGGGATGTACCGGTGGGAAATTTTGTCATGAAAACACGTCGGGGTTTGGGTGTATATGTTTGGAGAAAGGGATCACTTTTCACATTCGAAAATCAAATCAAAATATAGCTCTCTCAAAAATTTGATAAACCCTAAAATAGACTTCCGGTCAGTGAATGGGGAGGAAAGGAGGCGATTTATTGGGGATGTCGCTTTTGTCTCAAATTTTAGTGATTCATTTGGAAAAGTGCATTGTGACGAAATGATTAGATGCGATTAGGAAATGGAGATTTTTCTTTTTGTTGTTTGAGAAGTGAAAAATCTTTGATGTGGTGTGGTATTTATTAGGATAAAATGAGAAAATCGGAACAATAAATTTCATCGATAAACACTGGTTTTATTAAGATTCATTCAAATTAGTGAGGCAATAAACAAGTAGTCAGTTTAAGTAAGCAAATCATTGTGTGTGCAAGTTCAAAATAAATGAATACCAATAATAAAGTCTCATACTTCGGATCAGGAATACTATAAAAAAAAGTGTTCTATCTTTTTGTTGTTAAAAGACAAACTCTCCACCAGTGAACTTTATATGGATGCAAATGGAGAAGGTTTGAACAATGATCCGCTTATCAACCCCACAATGCATTGTGATATCCCATAAGTTTTGCCGTTGAAGATATATTAGTTACGAAAAGCGAATGTTTGCCTAATCTTTCGCAAATCAATTTTAACAATAAAAACAACATAATGCAGTCTTAATCTTTATCCAAGCAATATATAGCTCAATCTATTTTCTATTTCCTTTATAGTTCCTTTATAGTTCCTTTCTAGTTCCTTTATAGTTCCTATATAGTTCCTATTTAGTTCCTTTATAGTTCCTTTATAGTTCCTTTATAGTTCCTTTATTTTCTTTCATCTTTCATCGTCATCTTTCATGTCGGCGAGGCACACATACTCGGCATCATCGTCGTCATCTTTCGGAATCTATAAGGTAACAGTAAAGTCAAACATGTGCCAGTCTTAAGATTCACAGCTACAGAATATAAACCGAATATATCTACCTTTTTTTTGTTGCCTCAACGATTTCTTTTTCTCGCGAACATTCCACATCGATCACGGTATAAGGCGAAAATACGTTTTCTTACAAGTCAAAAATCCGGCTGCTAGCAAATGCTTTTGAATTTTTACTGATCTCAAAACAGAAAAAAAAACGAAAATTGGTCTATCGAAATAAAATTTATTACAATTTGAAGTTGGCTAATTCCATGTGGTCCCCCCTGTGAATTAAAAAAAACTCAAAATTTCTTTTCACTTTTCTTTCTTTTTAGTCACATTTTAGGGCTAGTAAACACGCTGAATCCGAATTTGATGTCAAAATTATAGGTTGTTTGTTTGGTATTTGAAGACACGAAATTTTGATGGTGAGGAACTGTCCAGGCGTATTATGGTTTTCTATTTTTTGAAGGTATCTTTATTTGTTATTTTATTCTTTTCTGTTGTATTTTTTAAAATTTTTAGGATGGACCGCGTTGCGAAGAGGAGGCAAGCACGCAAAGCGAACTTGAAAATAAAAATGACCTAAAATGATTGAAAAACTTTTTCTCGAATTCTCGATAGGTTATGTTTATATTCAAATACGAGTTCTAATGTTAGTTTAATTTAGGTATTTATACTACCATGCTTATACCACCACTGACAAAAATTAAGTTAATTGTTTACCCACTCACTTCGGAGTCATTTCCCACCGGCATCTGCACATCTGCAAGTGATTGAGTGAGAAGTGCGGTACGGGGATCTTCTTCCGAGTTGCAATGTGCCGTAGAGACATTCTAAGGCAGTTAGCCAAATTTAAACAAGAATTACCTTATTCAAAAGCGCTGGGGCTAAATTTTTCAGCAAAACCCCTTTCGAGTAGCGCCACACATTTTTCCAGTTGTGTTCAACCTAAACAAAAACTTTAAAAATGAAGTGAATTAGACAATAATTGTCGACAAAAATTGAGTTAATAATTTGTCCACTCACTGATTCACTTACGTCGTTGACATCTTGACGGATTGAGCGACGACGGTTGTGTGGAGATTCTCGTCTGAGGTGCATCGCGTAGTTGTGCTGTCGATTTGGTTAAGTGGTGGTTATGAGAAAAGTTATTTATTAACAAAAAGATTTACTTATCTGTTGAATCCCATAGAAATTGCAGCAATTGGAAACAATAATCTAAACATTAGAGATCAATCCAGGAGAAAATTTGTTAAAATATACCGATTTCGCACTGTGCGGTAATTGAAGCAACCCTTCAGAGCCTTGTGCTAAAATCAGAGTATATGCAACGTATAGATCAATCATTACCTTCCACACTGAGTGCTCGCCTATTGACACCACTCCTTACGTCTCACACATGATCAAAAAGAGGGATTGCAAAAGAAGCATATGGAATACAATTTTAAAAAACCAACTGCCCACGACTACCAATTCCCAGTGAATATTTCCCAAATGGGTGGTGCTGATTTGGGTACCCCCAAAAATCTACCTGCACATTATTCAGACAAGATGAATTGAATCACACAAAAGTCCACGGTGCTATGGGCGTTTAGGGCGGGGGGGGGGGTTTGGCTCGACCAATTTGGCTGATTTAACTTGTACACGTAATCGCTAAATACGACCAATCCCCGAATAGGTAAGAAAAAAAATGAGAAGCAGTTTGATATTCTTTTGCACATTAAGTCTTGTTAAGAATCATTCCATTTATTCACCATAAATATACAAGGCTTATAATTCAAAACCGCAAAATGTCAAAATGCAAACACGGTAAAATTGATAAATCACAGACTATGCAGTGAGGTCCGTTGTGCAGATTAATGTATCCTGCATGTCGCTTGGGAGAACGGGTACGCCACGAATAGCCTTGCGCAAGTTCTTGGCCATATCCACCATAAATTTGGGCTTGATCGTCTCAATAATGCTTTTCACAAAAGGGATCCCTCCGCTGACTTTCAAATCGCCGTGGAAGTACAACTCGAAGTCGATTTTTCCTAAAGTAGAAAAATTACATGGGGTTATGCACATCTCAACTAGTTTACTCAGCTAAAGAAACCATTCATTCAGTAATTAGTTACCTTCTCCACAATCTTGAATCACAAATCCTCCCAGATGTTGAAAAGTGCGTACATGATCCTTGAGTTCGGGCACGTCGGCCTTTTCAACTGAGCGAGCAGCAAGGATGACAGTTGATGTGCTTTTTCGAGCGTCGATGGAGACCACATCTACAGAGTCACGAGCGCTCAATGGAGTCTTCTTTTTAGTCACGTGATGAACGATCTTCATGGTAGGAGAAATCTCATCGAGCACCTTTACTCGCTAAAAGAAAAATGAAGCTAGGAAAAACCTATTTTTCTTACGGCAAGAAGATCATCCCATTGCGTTCTGTAAGGCATCCATGGCAAAACCAGAGCAAGTGCGTGGTTGAGAGTAGTGCCCTAAAATGACAACGTATACACTTGATAAGCAAGCATCAACTTTACTTCAATCAATTAGGGTTTTACACGGTCAGGAGGCTTGTATTACTGTTTGAGAAACTTTTCAGAGCAGCGTTGAAATGGGAAAATCAACAATCAGTCAAACTTTAAACGCCCACTTTGAATACTATAACTGATGTATTGTCTTTACCAGAACCGGTAACTACCGTAATACCTTAATAATAGCCCACGTATGATGGCGCAGCTTACCTCTTTTTACAAAACAATTTTTTCGCAGTTCCCTAAATTTTTCCCAACTACTTTTGGTACCAAATACTAAATTTCAAGGGCTAGCATTTGACACCCAAGCATAAAGCAGCGCGGAGAACGGAGCGTGTAAAGTTAAACTACGCGGCAATATCCCGTCATTATGGGATGGGGCTACTATTACAGGTATTAGGGTAGAAATTGGTAACTAAAGATGAAGACCACGACTAGCGAAAATCTCCCTTGCGTAGTAGACCACGTTTTTAATTCCCCAAAAGGTCTAAAAACTCTTACTTCTAGAGAGATGGAAGCTTTGGCGATATCCTCGGGACAGTCGGGGTTGTCACTTTTCATTGTGTAGACCTTGATCTCGCCTTCAGAAAACTTGCTGGATTGGAAGTTCTCCGGATGATTGTGGTACTTCCATAGATCGGCGATCGCCCGCTTTCCAACCGCCTTGAAGTATTCGTGTTCCTCTGACGCGACGAGAGCCATCACTGCGACCAGAACTAAAAACACGAAAAAAAATAAAGCCTGGTGTATACTAATAATGAAAACAACATGAAAAGGAAAATGTTAAAGTGTGGTGCTTCAAAAAGACGTCAATGGTTGGAGTCTTAAAGCTACAGAGAAAAAGGGGGTGGCTACTTTGCGCCAAATGTTTTGCGCAACTCACCATAACTTTCTTCTAAGTTGGCCAAACTTTATGATTTTGGTGTCATTTTGTTACACTTGTTGAGATCTATAAAATGACACAAAAATCATAAAAATTTACCAATTTAGAAGAAAGTTATGGCAAGTAGCCACCTCCGAGAAATATGAAACGGAAAATGCTTTTGCCAGTAGGAGAAAGAGAAAACGCTGCCATTAGGTTAAAAATATTCAATCGATCAGTGAAAACAGCCAAAATCAAAGTGCTTTTGCTTTCGGAACAAAATATTTTTCTTATTTAAACTCTTTTTTTGAAAATGGAAAACTGACTTTCATTTTTGGTGTCCGCTGGCTTAAATTTTGAGATTTGTGGCACTTGTCTCCCTTTGCTTGACTTCTGTGTCGATTTTGATGTTACGGAAGTTGGCGGAAGCCCTTTTACGAATCACTCTTTGTAATAAGAAAACCTTTCTGGTTGGCTGCTAAATTGTTTGGAGGTCATCTTATAGTTAGAACTCTGTATTTTTGTAGAAGTTCAAAGTGCGAATGAAAATTTGTACCCCAAAGTTGTTGATACCTTTTAACTCCCTTTAACACTTTTCTAAAATACGTTTCACCGCTTTCAGTTTTATGCATTGTTTTTATTTCAACATTGGTTGTTATTTATGCAGTTCAGATGCCAGGGAATCTGCTTCATCTACGTCTACCTCTTCAGGACCAAACCAACAAAGTCCGGCCCACCCAGACGCGAAAGGCTGAGATTCCAGTTTCACGACTGACGGTGACAGAACCTCCCAAACTGCTCGATGGATATCAAGAGCTCACTCCGTCAATCTTTGAAGAATCGTTCACAACGACCCCTAAGAGACGCGGAAACAAGACGGTCAAGCAGGTAGTTTTGTTTTAGTCATACTAAAGTGAAAACTTTTAGGCGACTCGGGTGCCTCAACTACGCTCTTGCTCCTCTGCGCCAATTCTTGAGAAGGATGCTAGCGACGATTCGCCTCAAACTGTGTTTCTATTTGATGATGCAGGTTCCCGAATTAGTAGTCGTCTCTTAAGTAGTTTTTGATTTAGACGCTCTGTCCGCGTTGAACGAAAGTCGGAAACGTTTTTTGGAGACGCCAGATGGCCAAATAAAAAACAAAGATGGATTTTGTCAAGAAACTGATGTTGATTTGTTGTTGTAAATATTACTCGTACTTTTTAGTGGTCCGACTCTCCAAATTCCGTGGTCATTAGCGGTTGCACACCAGATAAGCGTCGTCGATTGCACATTTCAGCATCAACAGGGCAGCTTGATACAGAAGTTGCCGGAAATTTTGATTGTCTTGTTGAGGAGCGTGAAGTGGTATCTTTGACTATTGTATAGAAAAATTTACACCATTTTAGGAATATACTTTGCCAGTTGTGCCTGACTCGGAGTGCAAGGCAAAATCTTCGGCGTTCAAGTACATATCACAGGATACTCTTGTAAGCGAACTGGAGCAATTGGGAGACCAATTTGAGTAAGAATATCATGCTACTTATATACTTTACAACAAAAGTTATCTCAAAACATAAGCCTAAAAATACTTTATAACTGCTTATTTTAGACAAAAATACATCCTTGTCGATTGTCGATACAACTATGAATATGAAGGTGGTCATATCAAGGTATTTTAAAATTCCTAATATAATTTTATTATTTGTTTAGTTTGCCCATAATTCTAATGAGACGAGTTTGGTGACGTCGATCTTCTTTTCTGATGATCCAGTTATATTTGGAAACAGACGAGCACGGATCCCTATCTTCTATTGTGAATTTTCTGAAGTCCGCGGCCCTAGGATGTAAGTTATCTTGAACAGTTAGGTCATTAAAAATTAATTTAGGGCAAACGAACTTAGACGGATTGATCGTGCACTGAACTTGGAGCGATATCCCTTCGTCGAGTACAAACAAATTTTTGTGTTACACGGAGGCTACCGTGGATTTTATGGTCAAGAACACGAACACGTGATGAAGACTCGAGTTCTTACAATTTCCATTATTTTTACAAGATTACTTTTAGAAATTTTGTACGCCTATGTCTTACGTCCCAATGAATCACCCAGAGCATGTGAACAAATTACGAGAACTGTCTGCTCATCGCAAGCGCTTGGACAAAGGCCGACGGCAGGGAAGAGTACATCCAAAAGTGCGGGTAAAACTATTTTTGATGTATAGTCTAGAGAAATTCTAGGAGCTGATAGTATGTTGTAAATTCGTACTCTGAGCGTAATGTGATGTCTTATTGTACATTTTTAGACTCAGGAACGCTTGTTGATTCAAGGGCCCGTTTTTGATGCTGATGAAATTGAAGATCGCCATTGATGTGTGCTTTTCATTGATTGTATTTTGATGCATTTCTTATATTGTTTTTTTGCAAGCTGCAAGTTTGTTTTTGCATTATGAATTATTGATTTGATAATTCATGTCACGGGTTAACTATAGTTAGCCTTCTGTAAATTAACATGTTCTACTTATTTGTTCAATAAAGCTAAATAACTCCAGTGTTCGAAATCAAATCTCACTAAATACGACATTTAACCAAAGTTTGCATACAATACAACGTGGTGTATGTTATCCACCAATCATAGAAAGATGAGGTTTGAGTCGATTTGCCGCTTGGAATCATTGGGAATGGAGTGGGCAAGAAATTCGAGAATGACAGAAACGTAAGGCATAAACTGAATGCGGTGTATTGCTTAAAAAAAGACTACGATAAAAATGCACATGAATATCTTCAAATAGTTTAGTAAATGCACTTTTTGAACAAGTGAAAAATCGAGTTGCACAAGTGAACTGGCAGGAGAGAAACAAAGAATTTAATAAAGCTGGAAAACAAATACCTAGTAGCAAAAAAAGTAAATATCTTAATGCATAGCAAGAAAATGGCAATAAAAGGGTTTCATTGCACAGAATTTGATTTCCAAAAAATGGCTAATACTTAAGAAAATAGCTAAGAAATATGAAAGCACTTAAGAAGATTTCGATGAATCGTTAGAGATCGATTGAAGTTGATGATGAAGAGCCAAGAGAAGAGATCTCTCTTCATCGGATACCTCGGATAAGCCACTCTCGGGATGATCATGAAGCCATTGATTGATTTGCTGAAAGTTTTTGGATAGCTAGGAATATGGATACTTTGATGTAACCTATTTTGGAAAAAAATCTTATGGTGATTAGTCACTTTGATCATTTTGAACTCACATCTACATTATTGGTGACAAAAGCGACATCTTGTCGAACGTCGGGCGTTGAATGAGGATCAGATGGACGCGGTGGATGAAAAGATGTGGAAAGACCGACAGAATGAAAAACAAGTGAAAGAGCCCGACATCGCTGAAGAGTACTCAACACCCATGGCTCGCCCGATGCGGAGCTCGTTGATCTCATTTCAGCCTGAAAATTCGCTTTGATTTCATTCATTTTGAAAGAGTTTTACCTTCACGTTGATTGATTTTCGGTGCACTTTCGATGATTCGTCGACTCGTTCACTGTCCGCACTACTCGCCGAATCACTATCCTCTTCAACTCGAATTGGTTCCTCTTCGTTTTCTGGACTCTCCGGATTCTCATCTTTCGCAATCGGCTCCTAAGTTTTTATAATTTAAGTATCTTCCTTTCAAGTAAACTATTTTAAAATAAGGCATTACTGTCTATTTACCTCTTTGATCGTCATATCGAGAGGCGTTGCATTGTGATGGAGAGCCGAGAGACCGGCGAGAGTTGCGAGTGGACTATGGGGGCTGAATAGATAAAAAGATATTCAAGGAAATTAGTGCAATTCGATACTTGTTGATCAAGAATTGTTGAGCCAATTCGTGTCTGAGTTGTGTGAGAGTTGAGGGAATGATATCCGAATCGAAGCGATCTGAAGACGGCAAAGTGTGCATTGGGAGAAGCAATCTGGAATGATGTGTTTGATTCTTTTTACCCAATTCACTAATTTACCTCAAAAGACCACGAAAACCAGGTCGATCAACGATATTTGCCGGTTGTCCATCCAAAAGAATCATCATTGCAACCTAAAAAAAGAACGATATAAGATCCAAGATCAAAATAGGGCAGGATTAAGATAAACTTTTCGAATGAACTTACTTGCGTGTGAAGTTTCACCGAATCGAGACTCGAATTAACATAGATTGATTCGGATTTGGAGGTTTCTGAAAAAAAACTTTATTTCTTTATTTATGCTACTTTCTACCGGGAAATGTCGAGCGAACAATTGAAAAAGCGGTCGGACCATTTGAAGGAGTCGACGATTTCGTTCGCAAATCAGTGGCCTCTTCCTGCAAAAGTGATGAATGAATGGAAAAAGAGAAAGATAAACTGACCTCTTCTTCAGCTTCTGTTAATTGCTCGACCCGTTTTGCTGCATTCGGAATGATGGCTTTGGGAGCCGGGAGACCGAGTGGAGGGACAAGAGGAGACACTGAAAAAGAAAAGGTGTACACAAGAGGAGTTGAATGCATAGTAGACAATTAAAGATATAATTTTGTAAGTGATCAAATAGCTTAAACTCAATAATGGAAGGTTGAAAGAAATAAAGGTTAGTGTATGAATAGAAAACTCACCAGTGGATGCAAGAGTTGAAAGTGAGTGAAATGGTGGAGAAGCGGTAGTTGAAATGGATGAAGTTGTGTCGGAAGCAGACGAGAGTGATGATGGAGATTTTTGTTGATGAACAATTGATGTTGGAGTGCCGACAACAACGGCTGGATGCCCATCTTTCACTGAAGACATCCGTTTCTCTTCTGAAAGTCACTGGGTTATTGATGGAATTTTGGAGCTATATTTGACTTTTAGAACTTGATCATTGACAAGTTTTTCGTATCTGCGAGTGAACTTTCCTTAGAACTTACTATAAAAATTGCAAAGCTTTTTAAACTCACCAAATTTGCATGGAATTCCTGTTTGACGAGCTTCTTGTAACAATTGATATTCAGCCACGTGACAACTCCGCAAATGACGAATCATGCCGGTTGTGCTAAAAGAGGAAAACATTGAAAAAGGAAATCAACTGAATTTATTCAGTTGATTTTCTTAAATTACCGTACCTGCTATTTGTCGCTTTGATTTTCTTTCGACATAGTTGACATTCGGCTGCTTGTTCTTCGACGGGCAATTGATCGAAATATTTCCAAACCTGAAAATCATGATTAGAAGATTCAAGATTAGAACAGAAAACAAATTTTTGTGAAAACTAACCTTAGCCGTTTTGACACTACTCCCGCCGACTCTCGTTTTTCTCAATGGAGTCAAAGGAGATCCGGATTGCTGTTGAAGACAAGCCAATTGAGATTGGAACTAAATTAAGGCTTTTTTTGAATATTCTGATATTATTTTGGTTAATTATGTGATTTACCTGCTGTAGGGTAGGGAATTGTTGCATGAGAGCGGCCGAGAAAAGTGGCGGAAAAGCTCCGCCGGGGAGCATCACCCTGAAAAGACACTATAAGAAAGTGGTAAAAGATTATGAAATTATTGAAAGAAAAAGAAAATTGAGTCTAATGAAAGACACGAGAAAGGGAAGAGCAATGGGACCACATCATTTGCATACAAAGGAAAGTGGAAAGGGCCGAGTGCAGACAAGTGAGGGGTACGGTAGGCGGAGACAAAGAAATTCTTGAGCTAGGTGAGATTTGAAAGCGCACAGGTAGACCTGAATGGGTTTTTGAAAGATAAACTTAAAACCCTTTTAGAATCTGGGTTTGTGTGGGGTTTGTTGATGGGAATTCAAGAAGAATGAAGAAAAAGGAGAACAAGAAGAGATTTTGGTAGATTGGGTAATGGACGAGAAGAACAGCTGTCATCAACGGGGCCAATGGAGGGGTGGGTGAGTTGTGGTTGAATGGGGAAGGGGATGTCCCCCACCGATCACTCGTCCCAGTCTCAGCCTCTCTCTCTTCATTCAGTTCCCGCAAAGACAAAGACTCTCCGAAATTTCTCCAATTCGCGCCCGGGATTCAAATTTTTCAAGGCCTCCTCTCCCGCACAAAAATCTCTTCTGATTGACCACAAAATCTTCAATTTGACAATGAGTGGATTATTTCGTTTTGCAATACCAAGAAAGTGTAATACTCTACAGGAAACTAGATCCATTTTAAGCCAAGCTTTGACCTACCTAGACATTGCCAGGAATCAAGGGAAACCAAGTCCGTTTTTTAACTAAGACAGTTGCCAACTTTTTTGCAGACTGTCTTCTTGTGGTGGGGATAAGTCACTCTCCAAAGCTCACGTCAAGCAGAAAGAAACATTCGGGAGAATTTTTTTTAAAAGGTCAACCGATGAATCAAAGCCATCGTTGTGTGGGTTTTTTTTGAGACAAAGAAAAGTCTACTTGAGTGACTGGATATCTCGAAAGTTTTGCCATGCACAAAAATGAAAAAAAATACAAAGCAACTAAAGTTTCAAGGATTAGGAATGCTTATGGAAAAAGTTTGTTGCAAAGGTTTAATAACTGAGAGCCTGAAAAACTATTTGAAGCTCGTTTTGCCAAAGTAAGTCTTGAGGGATTCGAATTTTCAGGCAAATGTTTTCCCCAGGGAGTTCTTGGAAAGAAAATGTTATTGTATTGGGTGATTTGGGGACGACTTTTGTTGTATTGGGACAAGAAATTTTTGGGGAAATGGAATGAATCACAGGGAAGAGAAGGGGAGGAGAGAAGAGGAGGAGGACTCAAGAAGAAGAGGACTCCTCAAGAAGAAGAGGGACTCATCCCACCAAAACTCTTTCCTTTAGAAAATTTCGAGCACAAAGGATCCGAGAAAACACATCTGCGACCTGTCTCTCTTAAAGAACAAAATTTAGATAAGACTATGAGAGGAAAGAATTTGAATGATTGAAACTATGGGGTGACAAACTTCAAAATCATCCCCATTCTCACATACGGTAATGATCTTTCGCTATAGGTCAGGTAATCCTTGATATTTCCGATGCGCACAAAAAGTCTGGCAAATATTTCTTGGAGCAAATAGTTCGTTTGAATTTCAAGAGCACCCCTTGATCAGCCAAAATCAGCTTGATCACCATCTCTGATCTCATTCCATTGTTTTTTTAGATCAACGTTTAGATTTTTGGATCAACTTTCAAGAACTTTTAACACGAACATACGCTCAGTTAAATGCTAATTTCGAGAAAAGCAAACTATTGGCAGAAACTTTAAATGCATATTTGACGCTAGTACCGAACTACTGTGGTATTACCTCTCAATGACAATGGATTTCCTTTCAAACAACAGCCCTCTTTCACCCAAACAGAGACTTATTGAAAGAAAAAGAAAATCACCTCTTTCACCTCTTTCAATTTCATCGAATTCCATAATCTTCCCATCAACAAGACGATTCATTGAGAAATTTTAAAAAACCACAAAATTTTGAATTCCCATTTGACGGACCGAGTGACTTTTGTAGGCAAACACGGCTCTTTTTCTTTCTTTTTTTGGTCTTTTCGCGAGTTTTTGCCCGGTTTTTTCTAAACGTTCCGGGACTGTCTTTTCACTTTTCTTGGAGAAATCTTCTTTGATTAGAAAAACCCTTTCGAATTTTGACTGACGACAAAAAAACAGTTGAAGGAAAGGGAAAATGATTGAAAAACTCGAGGAAAAGCACAGATGGAATCTGATGGAGAAAGGGGAATCTGAAAGGGGAAGGAGAAAGGGGAATTCAAATTGGGGTGACAGAGTGAGATCCTTGGTGATTGTGTAATACTTTGCACTTACACTTGGCAAATAAATAATCTTTATATCTGTGCATAAGTCTTGGTTAACTTATTGTTAGTCTGTAGCTGCGTTATGGTATCGATTACGAGTTCCGGTAACCGGAGTACTTTTTATTGCCCAAAATGGTTCGGATTATACAAGAAAAGTGTTGCAACTAGACTTAACTCCCTCTGGACTCAGGGGACTATAGTGCGTTGTGGTGTAATGGTTAGCACAGTTGCCCGGTACGCGAAAGGTCTTGGGTTCGACTCCCGGTGGAGTGAAGTTTTGATCTCCCTAGTTCCAGCTCTAGGTATATCGGAAGTTTGTCACTTTTTTGACAGATTACTGTAGATTTGGAATAAGGATTTCTTGAGCGAACTCTCTGTGAACAAGAAAAGAAAAGGGGTGGCAATTATGCAAAACTCGGACCGGAAAATAAAACTCCGATCGGAAAAGGGTACATAAAATGAGACCCTTAAACAGTTGGATGAAAGAAAAAATGGAGGGAAAGGCTTTGATGTGATCCGAAAAAGAAAGGAAATGGAAAGGGCCAAAAGCGAAAGGAAAAGAGTTCAAATAAGGCCATTCACATACAAATGCTCCCATTCATTCGGTAACACATTGTAAATTTTGAGTCGGCCTGGTTTGAATGCGGTTTTAGAAGGGTTCAAAGAGGGAAATTGCAAGGGATATCGGATGAAATTACGAGAAAATGTATCCAGAACCTGATTGTTTGTGAAATATTCAGAGCTTGAGCGAAATTTTCAAAAACTTTTGATTTCTAAATCTTTACACAGAACCTGAGAGTCAAAATGGAATAACAATGAGGTTTTCTACGAAATGTTGAACTTATTCTTAGAAATTGTACTCCTATTGATGAGATATTGTTAAAAGTACGGTAGAGTTACGGCAACATTTCCTGGGATTTCCAAACGATTTCCAAAACGAAAGGTGTCTGGGTGTTGACAGAATTTTCATTAATCGACTCAAGACTCACAATAAAGAAAAGGATTTGAGTGAAAAGAAAGAAAAAAAGAGTCGATCAGTTCGTCAAGGACGGTCTCGGGACCCCCCAAAACGAAAGCCTCCGTAAAAATCTCCGGAAATTTTTAGGCGGGATTTTTTGAGATCAAAGTGTGAGTAGATTTATGCAGAAAAAGGAAAAAAAGAGGAGAAAAGGACACAACTGTTCGATCGGTGTCGAGATGGAAAAGAAAAGGAAAACGAGCATTCACAAATGAATGAACTCTGAGGGGTGTTGAAATGAAAGAAATGAGAGGCGTAGGCCCTCCCTCAACTCTTCCACCCATCCTAATCGGTTGTCAGATCTCTCGAGATCTCCCTATCTTTGTTCTTCTTCTTTTCTTCACTCTCCATTTTGGGGCACGCGACTCAAGTCTTTTGAATCAGTCTATTCTTCATCTTAAGTCAGAGATTTCTTAGGATATGACTCCAGTGGCATTCGAGGAAAGATGAGGTGATTGGAGAACTCTTTTCGAGAGTCACAGAATATTTTATGAAACGAGTTCAGCAAGAAGAATATGCCTAAATTTTTGGGATTAATCTCTGGGTCAAACTTAGTTGTATTCCTCTACAAATTCTACATCCTATTCACAACCTAGATTCTCCAGTTTGTCTTCCTCTAGATTCGTTACAATCAAGTCCTCAACTCGGGCTCCTCTCCAAAATTTTTTTGTCAGCAAGTCATGTCGGTAACTTAATCTGCAATCTGTAACAAGTGCCAAGTGAACCCCATAATCCAAAAGAACCCAAAGTCTACATTGAAAGATGGCCCCCATTCTCCCGTCTCATTCTCTTTACTGACCACCTTCCCCTCCACCGACAGGAATCGACGATTTTATTTCCTTTGTCTCGATCGGGTGTACCCCTCGTTTCCCTCTGATTCAACCCACTGTGTTTCCCATCAATTGACCATCTTTCTCTTGAAGAAAATGGAGAGGATGGCCGGGTGTCCGAATACTCGATTCTTTTTGCCGCCTAAATTCATCAAGAAGGGACAAAGATATGATTAGACGGTAGGTTAGGGAACAGATTTTAAAACTCAAAAGGTTTGTCAAAAAGTTCAAAGCTCGGTGGTGCGGTAATAGAATGCTTGAAGAAACTAACTTTTTTTCAATGATAAACAAGATCTTGATAAATCAAAGTTGTCTAAGAGAACAAGAAAATGAGCTTGATGCTTGAAATATATGGTATTTTATTCGGGTTCTAGCCATCACGCTCGGAATTTGGTAGCAGAATAGCGTCTATCGCAGTACGGAGAATAGCGTCTTATCCCAGTACACAGAATAGCGTCTATCGCAGTACGGAGAATAGCGTCTATCCCAGTACACAGAATAGCGTCTATCGCAGTACGGAGAATAGCGTCTATCCCAGTACACAGAATAGCGTCTATCGCAGTACGGAGGAATAGCGTCTATCCCAGTACACAGAATAGCGTCTATCGCAGTACGGAGAATAGCGTCTATCCCAGTACAGAATGGCGTCTATCGCAGTACGGAGAATAGCGCCTATCCCAGTAACACAGAATAGCGTCTATCGCAGTACACAGAATAGCATACATAGCACCTGTAATCAAATCAAAAAATGCAAAGAAAACAATTGTTTTCAAGAAGAAAAAACAATGATGAATGATTGAATGATGAAAAAGGGTGGAATGGTTGAGTGGAATATCCACTGCTTTCAAGAAAGGGTGAGGCTCGAATTCGGACAAGCGG